TCTATTTTCTAGAGTACATTGTTAGATCAATAGAGCTCTACCATGATTTTTCACTATGACTACACCTTTGAGGACTCCAACAAATAGATCTATCTCCTCTACCAATTCTTTATCCGTATCATTTCAAATAATTTTACTTTAAGATCTCACATCAATTGGAGAGGAGAACAAATGCAGAAACCTCTCCTAGCATACCGTTATAAAGACCTTAAGGGGAAGCCTGAAAAGGGAAAGTCCAAAGAGGACAATATCTACTAGTGGTGGGATTAGGCTATTACAAATAGTATTAGAGCTAGACACTAGGCGGTGTGCCATCAGGACACTGAGCCCCGAAGAGGGTGGACACCGGGAGGTGTGCCAACAAGGATGTAGGGCCTCCGAAGGGGGTGGATTGTGAGATCCCACATTAATTCGAGAGAGCAACGAGTACCAAGAGGACGTTGGGTCCCCGAAGGGGGTGAATTGTGAGATCCCACATCGGTTGGAGAGGGGAACGGAGCATTCTTTATAAAGGGAAAGCTCAAAAAAGACAATATCTACAAGCAGTGAGTTTGAGCTCTTACATTTATCATCATCGAAGTATAATTAAATACATTTAAAACATAAAAGTGTCAAATCAATATATATATATATATACATAAAATGAAAGTACGTAAAAAACAATGTAGTATGAATCTCTCACCAACTTCTTGGGATTGTGCCTTAAATGAAAGCAAAAGAAAGCAAAAGAAGAAAGAACACAAGAGCTTCTCCATGTCCTAATACGAACTGTGTTTGATCTCTAGAGAATTTACAATAAAGTGTGATTTAAGAAGATAGGTTTAGGAGTTTTATGGTATTTATAACATAAACTTATAATGTGAATGGAAGAAGAAACATTATGAACCTTCTCATTTTCTTCAACCACTGTTTGTTTTTCAGCGAAAAGTTTGAAATTTTGGGAAGAAAATATGAACTTTTCCACTCAAGAAAAAGACATTAATTAATTTCTAATCATTGATTATTGAAAGCAAAAATGAAATTCAAATAATTCAGGTGGTTTCCGTTTCAATATTGTTTTCCACGTTCATCAAGTCAATGATGATGATATGTTTTGTATTATTAAACTAATATAAGAAAGGTTTATTTTAATTAATTTTCTTAATATTTGGTGTTGAAAATTTAACCAAACTGCATAGGTTAAAAAAAATGAAAAGAAAAAAAAAAAAAAACAAGTTGGGCTGCTGTTCGAGATGATCAAACGTTTGATTATGTACCCAACAAGAAAATTGACCGAATCTATGAACCAACATTTTGGTCATAATATATTGTAGTTTATGTTGTCTTTCAAACCTATGATCAAGGACATTAGTTGTCTCTTACTATTTAGAAACGCAAAAGTTGTACAAAATGTGTTTTTTTTTTTCCCTCTAAACTAGCTGATTTGAATATCATTCCTCACCGTTTTCAAATTAGACCATTTTAGTCTTAAATTACAAGTTTAGTACTTGAAAATTTAGAAAATTTCTATCAAATCTCTAAACTAGGGATGTATATGGCTCGGGTCCGATTGGGTTGGGTTGAGAGAATTTTTTGGACCAACTCAGAGATTCAGGTTAGTTGGATTGATAACCCAACCCAATCCTCACTCAACTCTTATAATTCGGGTTGGGTCAATTCGAATTTTCAAGTTTTTGAGTTTTCGAGTTCAATGTACACTCTTACTCTAAACTAAGGTTGTTCGTATGTTGGGTTGGGTCGGGTTAGGACAATTTTTAGAGCAACTCAATGATTTATTCAATAATGAATCCAATTCAACCCCAATGAACGTTTTGGTTCACATTAATTTGAGTTGTTCTAGGTATTTTGTAACAATTCTACAAAAAAGTATAATAATAATAATTAAATAAATAATGAAAATAATAAGAGGAAAGAAAAAGAAAAGGAAACACATAGTAAGAGGAAAGAAAAAATATGGTAAATATTAAAGACTTTTAAATGGATGCCGTGAAGATGAAATAATAACAAACATAAATAAACCTTTAAAGACTTTATTCATGCAAAGACGGTAGTGTTCGCAAGAAGTTTAACATATGGACTCACGTAAATTAGAGAAATAATTTTATAGAAGTTCGAACTTGAAACTGATGTCATGAATTTATATAGGTTGACTTAAATTTCAAACGACTAAATCGAACTTTCATTAAAAATAAATTTGTGACAATAATTTAAGTTAATGAGGTAAGTGATCTTACTATAAGATAGATTAGAAATTGATGAGTTACAATTATGATGTATGAACGGTATCATATGATGTCGAATACTAGTATCTGTTGATGTATGAGTGGCGTCGTATGATGTCGTATACTAGTATATGATGATGAATGAGTTATGATGCATGATGATGTCTGTAATATATATATATATTATATTATGATGCACTTGATGGCGATATGATGAGTATGATGATTGCATGATGTTATCTTAATATGACGATGTTTTTCATATTGAGCATGTTGTATGATAATGAGTGTCATATTGCATCATGTCAATAGATCAACATAGGACACAACCTTAAGATCATGAAAATGATGTTAATATAAATATCAAATGAGCATGTGTTACTTATGTAACAAAGAGATGAGACTAGAGAGTTGTGTCAGAAGAGATGTTATGATGGGATTAGAGAGACTTCATGCATGTTGTATGTTCATAAGCATAGTGCTACTTCCTCTAGAGATGATGAGTGCGGATGCGCACAACATGATAATGAGGGAATTCATGAGGTGCATGACACCATGGGTTCCACCGACCTCCAAACGTCACTACAGATTTGCTTGACTAGAGGGGTCTAAGGGGTGTGTGAGTCCACCTGGGGATTCACACTCGCACGTGTAGGCCGTGTGTAGGGAAGTAATACACATCCCTAGTTGTCGGAGACTGGAGGTCACCCCTAGATGAGATAGAGATAGGTCCCAAAAGCATGTAAAAGATCATGAGCTCAATAGAAAATTTTTAATTTTGACTTTTTAAACTTAATATTGAAAGTTTGAAAACTCGAAGCGATCGATAATAATTTCTTATGGCATGATACTCAAATGTGTTGGAAAATTTTTGAGAGAGGTATTATTTATTTATTATTATTATTTTTGGTTAAAATTTAAAGAATTAAATTATTTTTTTTAATCATAGAGCTAAATTAAAAAGAAAAAAAAAATCATACACCAAAACATATTTTACTTTAAAAATATTATTCTAAACTTTAAAAATTATTTAATAAATTTATTAACTTTTAATTTTGTCTAATAAATTTTTTACCTATTAAAAAATTAAAAAATTGATTTTTCGTTAAATATAAAATCACATGCGTACGGTGTAAAGGGATGTTGTAGTGTACATAGGATCAAAGCAAAATAATAGGTGGAGAATACTCGAAATGAACCAACGATTAAATTAATTAAACAATAAAAACTGATAAAATAGATATGTTATAAGTCAAGAAGATGATAACAGTAGATTCACCGAATCTCAATTCTCATATCATGTCACCAATGTCTTTGTCTAGTTTTGAATAACATACCACTCTTATTATAAAAACCTCTAAAGGAATTCTAATTATTCCGACGTCAAAACACCTTTTATTTATATCATTAAGTTTTAGTCTAAATTACTTTTCTCGAACATAAACTCATATGAAATATTGCAAAAAGTCTAATGACGAATATTGTAAAAAGTCTAATGGCTAAATCAATCCCCTAGTAAAAAGCTTTGTCATTATGCTCGTCTAAGACTAAATCTAAACTCATGGAAAAAAGTCGGAACAAAATGTAAAAGAAAGACTAGAAAACTATTTGGTGCATCAATCCTCTCTCCCGCTACGATCTCAATGTTTACGAACCTTGAGTCTCTTATCACTCAAGCAACCTCCTTTGAACTCCAAAAAAAATGTACACCCTCTCGAGAACGAGCTAGAACAAGAAGTGTATATAGAAAAAAACACTATAGCAAGATCTCGAACACACGCCTTGAATCATGTCTAGCATCTCATTATTTTCCATAAAATCTCCCAAGTCTACTCGAAATATTTTAAAAATCGTCTTGAAACCCACGATTTAAGCTTCAAAACTAGCATAAAATAAGTTCTAAAACAATGATTCAAGATAGTTCAACGATCGTTATATCAGCTAAACTATGTCTAGTTGATGATCCGGAATCATTTATTATGTTTGGGATATTTTAATGTGAAAAAGGCTTGACGAAAGAGTTTGGTAGAGTTATAGAAACCATTCCATTTTCAATTCGAATTAGTACATTGAAATCAAACGAGCTTGATGTATAAGAAACACATAAATTGGGGATGATATGTTTCCAACCACTCCTATGAGGTTTGATGTAACATCTTACCTACATTTCCTAGGGTTTTATATGTAACAAATATATATTATAAAATGTATAAATTCATTTTTTTCAAGATCGGACTATTATTTGGATTTAAAAATAATCTTAGTTTTGATTAGGACTATAAGCTTTCAAAATTAACAAATTTAATCATTGAAATTTGAATTTAATTTTGATTTTATATATATTAAGTTATTTCAAATTAATGAAAAATATGTATCACAGACTCACACGAGTTCTTCTATGATCTTTATCCTCACTCACATACATCTTTAAAAAAAAATACACAGTAGATCATCGAACATAGAATTACTTCAAGTAAAGCATGTTTAATGAAGAAGTTCTTATGATTGAGTCACTAACAAGAAAGGTGCACCTTGTTGGTATAGATAGTAACTTTCAATTGTTTTAAGTCTTTCTTAGTCATCCTATCCTTAAGATCATTCTGGTTCATATGTGGTTTTCCATCTTGATTTTTCCCGAACCACATCTTATTAGGAGAAGTACCGTGATACCATTTGTAACAACCCCATGCCCAAGATTTGAAATTCGGATTCAATACCTAAGGGTCTCAATATTCCCCTGTATCTCCTACGACATGGTTCCTACCACATCACCAGTTGGTTAGGATTCGTAGACATTGGATTAAATTGGAATGATACAAAGAAAATTAGCATGACCCTTCTGCAATTACGACACATACAAATCGAAAAATGATCTAAATCCTGGACATGAATCGTTACATAGTCAACATATATTAACTATCACTTCATCATTTCATTAGATCAACTAATCTTTAACTCTACATAAGACTCGTATACAAACTAAATTCAAATCTCGACTAAATAGAAACTATTTAGCTCAAATTCGAGGTATTACTCTAACATATTTTAAAGAGAAATTAGAACGGATGGTTATACTTTTACCCCCTTTATTTTTAAAATAGCTACCATGAAGAACCAATTTGCCTAGTTTGAACTTCTCCCCCATAAGAGCAGGCATTAATTTCCAATCATTGAGTATTTAAAGAAAAAGAACTCCAAATTGGGTAATGTATGTTTCAATATTGTTTCAAATGTTCATTAAGGTCAACTACGAAGAAATAATTGGTGTCATTAAACTAACATAGAGGGATTCATTTTCTTAATATTTGGTGCAAGAAATGAAACCTAAAGAAAAATGAGTATCCATGACATCATACTCAACCCAAATTAAGGGGAGAGAAAACAAAAACTTGTCACCAACGGGGAAAACGTGTAATTTTGCTTGAAAATCAGAGATATTGACGTTTTCGAAATAAAATAATATACTGTTCAAAATTACGCTAATAACGTTCAAAAATGAATAACATTAAAATAATACAAATTATTATAAAAAAATAGATCATTAATTACATGGCATTAATCCCAACAACCTACAATCACACAACTCACCCCACAGTGTGGCCACAATATTTCATCAGTGTGGTCACATCTCATAGAAGCTTTTAACACAGTCCCTTTACTTTAACACAACCAACTCTTTACTTAGCAACCTTCATATGACAACAATTGCAGTGCGACAGGCCTACTTTTGTCGTTTTGCCCTCTTGTTTTTCGTCTCGATTTTAATATTAACCCTATTTTCACCTGAGTTAGGCTCTTCCAAGGGTTTTTCTAGAAATTTTGGAAACTTTTTCGACTAGTAAACTTTTGGGAAGGCACGTGACAAATCAATAAGTAACCACACAAAATTAGGAAGTTATACTTGTAGGACACGCTTGGTGATGCATGCATGATAGTGAAAATTACTTGCAGGTGACTAGATCCGAAATATCCTGTACTTGCTACCTTGATGAGATTTTGTATGTAGATATTTGTATTCTTACCTGGAATACTTTACTATGGCTTATATTTAATTATACTATGTTGGTGGTTGGGGTATTTGTGTTTCTGCGCTCTAGATTCTTGATGGATGTTATTGCACCGTTAAACTTGTGTGACTGCATGCATAGTTAAACATACATAAACTCCTGTTGATTGATTGTGTGAACTTATTCTATGAATGATAAGTTGTAGCGTTGGGTTAAGTCTAGGGCGTATCCTTGTAGTGATTGAGTTAGGTTTATATAGGGGACCCTCCAAATGTTGCGTTCAGTGGTATCGTGAAGGACGACTAGAGGGTGAAACCCTTTAACCCTAGACTGCAATAGATTCGGGAATTCATGAATGAATGAATCGGGAAGCTAGAGCCCCTATCAAAACCAACTAACTACCCTTGAGATCTAGAGAACCACCTTAGAACTCTGAGACAAAGGAAAAAGATTTCTTAGCTGATAGAAGTTGTATAGCGTTTGAGGACCTTCCACTTCCCTTTCTACTCTGGTGTGGTACTATCGAGTTAGGTGTCATGTTGGTTAGGCTCGTGTTACTCAGTGGTAGACTGACTACATTGCATGGTGTATCCATCCTATGGTAGGATGTTGATCACGCAGGTAGGTCAAAGTTACCTACATAGTGGGTCTGTCCTATGGGAAGATGTTGACCACGTGAGTGACCTGTTCGAGTTGGCTTGTACCAGGGGTTAGCGCTTCCAATCGTTAGGTGACTTCATGGCTTGTGGGATAGGTTCGCCAGCTAACTTTTCCATGGACGACGACTAGGCTAGCTGTCACAACCAAAATTTTTTACAATGAATCGTGACTCAAATGACAATATGGATGCAGTGTGAATGCAATAAACAATTGAAAAGATATCAATACGAAATATCATTTATTTCGAAAGAAGAGAATTTCAATACAATGAATCAAGTTGTGACCAGTTTTGACAATGAAGATACATGAAAATTTATGAAAGTAAAAAGGCTAGATTGACGCCCCAAAACATTCTTTCCTCTGCGGCAATCCATGTATCTCAAACACACCCTCTCTCTCGACTCGTAGCATCATGCACCTGAAAAGGAAAATGTAGCAAGGATGAGTATAAAAGTTATACTCAATAAGCCACCTACTTGTAGGCTCTCATCGCGTTCTAGGTTTAAAAGATTCCCACGGGCTTCTTATCGACTCTAGGACATCTGGATCTAGTCTTATCCCCTTGGAACTATTCTAGTTCTTTGTCCTTTCATTTTAAATCTTGAGAGTTCCTTATGCTGAGCTATGAAAGACTGGTGACCATCTACAAGGCGTTACCTCATACATGACGCATATGAGACTATATGGTGTCTTACCTAGGGGTGAGTTGACGCCTCTCAGGTCCATAAAGTCACCCTCGTTGGGGGGGGGGGGGGG